GGCGGGGGGTGGGGGGGCGGGGATGTATAAGGTACGGCGTTCCGAGAACGCCGTACCCCCACCGGTTATCAGCAGGGGAGGGAGCGGGGATTATCGGAATGTCGTACCCCCGCTCCCTCCCCCGCCGATAACCGGTGGGGGTACGGCGTTTTCGGAACGTCGTACCCCTTTTTGTTGTCGGCGGGGGAGCGAGCGGGGTACGGCATTTTCGGAACGCCGTACCCCGGCTCCCTCCCCTGCCGAGAACCGGAGGGGGTATGGCGTTTTGAAAACGCCGTACCCCCCCACCGGTTGTCGGCTAGGGAGGGAGCGGGGGTACGGCGTTCTCGGAACGCCGTACCCCCGCTCCTTTCGCTTCCCGGGAACCGGAGGGGGTCCGGCGTACCCATCCGGTTCTCGGCGGGGGAGGGAGCGGGGGTACGACGTTTTGAAAACACCATACCCATCCGGATCTCGGCGGGGGTACGGCGTTTTGAACGTACCCCCCCCTCCGGTTGTCGGCGAGGGAGGGAGCGGGGGGTACGGCATTCTCGGAATGCCGTACCCCCGCTCCTTTCGCTTCCCGGGAACCGGAGGGGTTCCGGAGGTTCGAGAACGCAGCCCCCTCCGGTTCGCGGTGGGGGGAGGGAGCGGGGGTGCGGTGTTATCGTAACAAAGCCGTACCCCCTACGCCGTACCCCCTACATCTTACCCCCGCCGGTTCGCGGTGGGGTGGGGGGAAGGGAGCGGGGGTGCGATGTTCTCGAAATGCCGTACCCCCGCTTGTTTCGCATCGAGGCAATCGGAGGGGGTGCGGCGTCTTCAAAACGTGATGCCATAGTATAAGGTTTGATATCTGAAAGCGATCCGTTCTTTTGTTCGGAATGTGCCCACCATCAGGAGGAGCATCTGTTGTCCCGGAAAAGAGAGTCTATAAGACCTGCTCAATGTATAGAGATAGGGAGTGGGCCCTTGATTGGGTGGGGGGCCTACACGAGGCGGGATGTGGGGCTGCTGTGTTTCTGAAGACCGCCACGGGCGACAACTGGTTCTGTGTTGGAGGGATTATTAAATCCGAGGATGAGAGGGCGGACGGGCATGGACGGAAGTTCAGGAGGTTTTTCCTCACAACGGTGTACGACGAACAGGGAGTGGACCATGCGAAGGTCGACCATAAAGTCAGCATCGATTACAATCTGTTCAAGGGGTATGGAGGTAAGGCGATTACCATGAAAGCCTTCGATGTCTCCCCGAAAGAAGAAGGGAGTGTTGACGATGCTTGGCCCCGTGAAATTCCTCGCCAAAACGAACGGGTACAGGAGATCCGGAAACAGTCCCACGGTACAGGCCGGGCATCGTATGTCTTCGACACTCGTGCCTTTTGACACGCCGGACGAGGATCTCCCCGACATAGCAAAGAGAGAGAGACAGATGACGCCACATTGTTTTCCAACACAGCAGACGTCAGCGGGTGGAAGCCGGTGCCGCAACAAACGGACCCATCCGCGTCATCAGCCTGACGAAGGGGCTCGTGGTTCTCCTGTGGAGTCGACCCACCGGACGGAATGTGCAGGACCGTCTCAGCCGTCCACCCGGCAAGACGAAGGCACCCCTGTTATTACATACTGAAGGAAGGCCTTGTCAACTGCTCCATCTGCTGCCCGCCAGAAAGACTATGGTGGTGCGTCCGGGAGGGCGGCCCCGCGGGAGATAAGCGAAGGATCGGACGAGGAAACGGAGGATGATCCTGGGATTGGTGTTGATCAGCATCCGCAGGGTAATCATGCCGTCGGCGATGAGGAATGTGGGGTCGAAGAGGACGATGCCAAAGAGGAGAAAAGGGAGAGAGAGAGAGAGGGAGAGGATCGTGAGGAATCTATGCACGGCTGCGATGACGGGGAGTCTCGACAGCACGACGAGGGGGACTATGGGGGCGATGGAGAAAACGATGATGCCTATCCTGGCGATGATGAGGATGGAGGGCAAGAAGCGTCGGCTGATGTGGAGGTCGATGAGGGAACAGGAGATCGGTCGGAGGACAGTGTGCACAAAAGGAAGCGGCGATCTTCACTAAGTCCAACGGCGACGGCGGATAAACGCACTGCGAAGAGACTCACTGTCGCTGCATCTTGAGAGACACTCAAAGCTTCTCAAGAGGCGGTAGCAGAAAACGTGAAGAACCGCAAAGGGAAGGCGTCAACTAGGACGACAAAAGCGGAGAAACGTCCACTGAAAAGAAAGCGGATGGTCGATGAGGGTGACTCCGGAGAGGACGCCGAAGGGTGGAGGTCAGTGTTACCGATAACCACCATAGATTGCGATAAGCTTTATTGATCGATATATTACGGGGAAGGGTGGAGGTCGGGGTGTTTATGTATACTCGATATAGTATTATGTTGGCAGGATTTAGCAATTGAAATTTTGAAGGTCGTTTCGAGCATGCAAATATGGCAAGCCCCAATATTGATAGCTTACGCTGGCGCATAATGCATTGTTATGTGCAGAAATGAGGAACATAGAAGAAGTACGAAGATGCAAACAGGGATGGACGATCCACTTAGCGACGGATAAGTTGTCGGAGAAGGAGAGGGCCGCGGTACAACGTTTACGAGATTCAGTGCAAGTGGAGAATCGAACGGTCTGGACATCCACGTACAACGGGGCAACAAAAAAAGAACTAACACTAACCGGGCATGATTTGAGCTTGATATTGCTTCAAGGCAAATGGTTGAACAACGAAATAGTTAACTATTATTTGAACCTCGTTAGACTTGACAACATGTGTCGCATAAGCCATCGCGAGTGTGACAGTGGATAAGATGGAACTGTAGTAGAAGGAAAAGGGTGCATCCCGATAACAACGATTTTTAGTTCCTTCTTCTTCGCGAAATTATTCGATGGCGATATGCAATACAAATACAGCACAGTGCGAAAGTGGATGACGGATATCGATGTGGGCGACATAGACTTAATAATAGCTCCATTCCATATTCGGATGTCCAACCATTGGACACTAGTAATAGCAGACTTGAGACGCCAGAAAATAGAGAACTACAACTCGCTTACCCCTGACAAAGAATTCGCAAGGAAAGTGACAGATGGTTTTGCAAGATTTTTGTTCGAAAGATCAGTTGAACAGGGTAAGGTGGTAGATACAAAAGATTTCAACCACATATGGAATGTGTCAGGCATTCCTAGACAGCGCGGCATTAACGAATGCGGTGTGTTTATGCTAACATACGCGTCACTATTGGCAARAGGATTTCTCCCGCCRTTCAACTTCTCTTTYGACGACATCMAGGATAYAAGGGGACGGATYGCTTTRGATGTACTTRTCACACCGAAGTAGGGGTGACTTGTGCAACAAAGGACAYATGATAGACRACATTATCAAAGCAAATCACTTGTTCATATTGTGCAAATGTAAAGAGTTTATCAGCTATGTTAGATAGACACCCATGAACATGTTCGGATGTATTTAACAAAGAAACAGCGCGACATGCCCGATTGAACACCATTACTGTGTTACTCAGCTGAGCTCGTACCATTGCTACCCCTTACCCCTTACCCATATTACCCCTTTATCCCTTACCCCTTACCCCTTACCCCTTTACCCCCTTACCCCCTTACCCCTTTACCCCTTTACCCCCTTACCCCCTTACCCCTTACCCCTTACCCCATAACATACTTAATAAATTACATACAAAAAATCGCAAAAAAAGGGCTTTCAATTTCGCACATAAATTAAAAAATAACCGTTTTAACGAAATCGCTGTTTTGCTGCTTACCATATCCCTTACCTCTGCCACCATTCTCTTTTCTGTAGTCGACTTAGTTTGTTTCCTCTGCCTCCTCTGCTGGCCTCCTC